TATTCTATTCTATTCTATTCTATTCTATTCTATTCTATTCTATTCTATTCAGGGTTGCGGGGATCACTGGTGCCCATATCCACTGTGCGACGGGTGGGTCACATATCGTACAGGATCCTGAAAATGTTTTTTTTTTTTGTAAACCATACATCAGTTTTGTATTACACAGTTATTTCACCAGAAGTAGGATGTTCCTGCACCAGAAATGCTACAGCTAACTGCTGCTGTAGCACATGTGGTTCCACTTATAAACAAAATGTTTCATATCGTAGGAGGTGAATACACATGTAACAACAGAGTGATATTAAACAATTTTTTGTCACATTTCTTTAAAAATTTCATTTTAGAGTAAAAACTATAACTATGACAGCAGGTTAATTATCAGGCCTTCAAGTTGATCCTTGGGAAAGATAGAGGTGAATTTGAGTACTCATATCTGAGCTACAGTATTTATTTATTTATTTATTTTTATTTTTGTCAAATTTGCTGACATGGACAGCTTAACCATTCTAGTTTCAACTTCCACATTTCTGCGGTCAATTTACCTCGGAGGTCAGAAGTCAGATCTGCAAATTACATTTTATTATATTCTCACATTATTTTCTAGCATCTGTGCCCAGCAACCAGGCTAACTATAACAGTCAGTCACTTTTTCTGCATTCTGTGCATTCAAATAAACAATGGTCATAATGGTTGGAATGTACCATATGTGTGACCAAAAGTTCACATAAAATGTTTATTACGGAACACTTTACATGTGAGTCAGCGATATTGGATTTTGCAGTTGGGGCTGGTTAGTTAATTCTGACTCATAATTAGTTTAATAATGATAATAGTAATTAATAATAGGCCTATATGAATGGATCAGACTCACTTTTTCTTCAAACTGAACACATTCAAAGACAGGTAAGATACTATTTGTTCATACTGCAAAACTCCACTTTCATAAGATTTGAACTACTTATTGATGATCACATTTTTACAAAAGAGGGTTATTACTGGAAAAAAATCTGACTTTAATCTGTTTTCTTTACAGCGGTGTTCTGATTTTGGGGATATTTTACATGGTAAGGGTAGAAAAGTTTTGAATTTACCAAAATCAAATCTTTGTACTTTATTCTCTAGGATCCCCCCATACATAAAGCGTAGAACAAATGAGTGAAAAATAAATAATGATTTGTATGTCCCATAAATCTGTTGCAATTACTGAAGTCGTCATCCGTGTTGTGTCCAAGTCAAACAATCACAGAACAGCGCGCGCGCGTGTACACAGCGGTGATCCGCCGCTCACCGGAAGTGTGCGTGGCTCTCAGCCGCTTCACATCAGGAGGAGGAGCTCCTCTGTCAAAAAGTTTTCGGAGTACATTATTGTGTCGTCTGCTGACTGCGGTGTCTTTTTGTTAATAAAAACACACTTCAGAGGAGTGGGGGGAGCAGAGGGAGCAGCGGGAGCCCGACTCGGAGGCAGCCATGGACGGTAAGAGGAGCTGCCCGGCCTGCTGACAGGAGCCAACAGGGGCAGGAGGTGAAACTCAGGCAGGGAGTTGTTTTCGCGGAGAGGGAAAGCCCCGCTCGTCCGCTCCCATGTAGTCAGCTAAAGTCTACTGAAAAGTTTGACTTGTTTTTTTAATGTGAGTACAGTACTCAGACTCGCTGTTTGACTCGTTTCCTCTCGGTAAACTCACCTGGCGAACCTGTCCGCCACAAGGCCCGATTGGACCTCCTGCCAAACTCCGTTGACAACTCTTACACTTCATTTCTTTAACCATTTTCTCAAAAAGTATAAGAAGAAAGCTGCTCTTAAAAACTTTTCTGACACGTTTGATATCCTGTCTTCAATTCGTCGTGTCTAAAACCCAGCAGGTGGCATTCGTTTCTGTCAAAACAGCTCTTGTTTGGCGGTGCTCCATCAAAGTCGCGTCTTCTRACAGTTAGACGGAAGTGATCAAAGTTATAAGCATGATAGGAAACYGGCTGTGAGAAGCTGTGTACAGATGTGCATCTTGGGAGGTTTTATTGTTTTATCTTTTGGCTGTCAGCTCAAAAACATTAAACAGCAACAATGTATAAAACCTGCTTTTCTTCTAGTCTTGTACCTTCCAGCATAGGTTGCAAAATTTTGCTATCACTTGTGTTTTTGTTTAATAGGATGGCATGGTGACATTATTATTTCTGATCCAAACTRATAAACAGCAATGTTTGTAGTAACATATAGGTTTGGTGGAGTAAAATGACTCATGAAGCTTCAGCTGTGTTTTGATATTAGTACACCCTGTAATTTGACTGCAGTGTGATGAAATATAAGCATTTACTTTCACTTTCACARGTGCTCAGTTTGCAATGAATGATGTCATTCAAACAAAAATAGCAGCATTTGTCAAAAAACCATTGCTTATATATTGAAGCACACATATTAATATGTTGTGTATTTTTTGATCCTGCTTCATCTTGTGCAGCTTTACAATGAAACATGCAAATTATACACCAAAACATACAGGATTAGTTTGCTTTGACTTGCACACTATAAAAATTTGATAAAAGCTCGGAAGAAAAACAAAAATAACAAATCGGTGTGATCTTGGCAAACATATGGGGAAACCCAGCCCTCTTTGGAGATCTGTAGATCAGGCACACATCACAGCAGAAACATCGTTTGAAGTTTAAACAAATCACTGAAAGTTAGATTTGACACGTCTCATCTAACATTTTGATAACTTTTAGGGTTTTAACGCAATTTACAGTTTAGAATTTATTAATCTTCACCTGACAGTTTAATGTTTGAAATGTCTACATTTTTCTAATCTTTTGCTCTATTATCTATGTATACATTGAAACATAGGCATTTCTGTCTTCATGCACTGCTATGTGACTTTTGGTTTTATCTCACACACCCAGGCTTCCACAGATTTTAGTCCAATATTTTCTCTTGAGAGCTAAAAGTAAAGACTTTTTTTTTAATTAATTAGTTATATATCCTACATAAAACATCTGATAGTTCCCACATGARGTCACACTTCCTACATGGAGACTGCCCAAACCATTGTGATAGTGTAAAAAATMAAACCAGCTTTCCCAATACTGTAGAATATAAGTTGAGTTTTCCACCCCAGTAACCACTGAGTGAGAGAACCATGATGGTTTATATTGCTGTTAAAAAGATGATAGATAAACCAWTGTTTTTGTCATTTTATTATATCCTGAGTATTAAAAGCAGCGAACATGAGCTAACTTTGCTACTTGGCATCCAACGTCAACAAGTGTGGCTGGCTAATTTCTTTACTGATTTTATATATA